ATTTACAGTATTTATATTGTATATATATATTTTATAATAGTTTATATACAATGTATTTTCTATGTATATCATAGTGTAAATAAAAAGAATTTGATTGATATAAAAACACATTAAAAGTTATAAAATATTTTCTATTTGTCAATATTTTATATATAATATTTAAAACAAATTAATATGTGTTGAAAAAAGTAAGAGTAATATCAAATAACAATTTCATTGGAAAGTTGTGTCAACTAATTCAATGAAAATGATGTTTTGCTTCAATCATTTTTATGTAATTTAAGCATTCATTTAGAGTATATTAACCCTGAGTTTGTACAGTATTTCTTGAAGAGATTTTCACATAAAAATACTATTAAATATAATATAACAATAAATGTCTATTTATGGTAAACTTCCTCATCATTTATTTTAAAATATTTTGAAACTTTTCTATAGACTAGTGTTGAAAACAAATTAATGATTGTGTGTTTGTGTGATTATATTTGATGGCATACAAACTCTGTGATACAATATAATAATTGTCGGAAAATATAGTTATATGTCATTATATGGTAATAATCATTAGATTATAATATGATTCTAACATAATATGTAATACAGTATTTACTACTTAATTATAATTAAATTATAAAAATTTCGGGCAATAATTTGATTTAAATGAATCAATGAATACTTACTATTTGATACAGTAATACATAAATATATAATAATAATAATATAATATTTAAAATCAAAGTAAAATTTCTTATTTTGCTATACTTTTAGCTTTTAATTTTCTTTTGTATAAATTCAAGTTTTATATAAATAAAAAACAGATTAAATGACATTAGATTTGACTAAATTTTAATAAAAATTTAGTGTATAAAATAAATAATACATAAATATCAACAAAATTTTTAACTAACTATAACATACAGTATTAAAATATCAATGATATTAAAAATAGTTGATTGTATGGATTGAATAATATGTTTGTAAAAATTGTTGTCATAACAGATGTGACCCAACATTATATTCACTAAATTTACATTCAATTTATCGCAACCACACAAAAACATATTGTGTTTCATATATTATATACATTTGTTATAAACAAATAAGTAAACGTATTTTAATGACATCGGACGCACCCACAGATCATTATGGAAGCACTGGAACCACATTAACATCATATTAAAAATTTTATTATATTTAATATTAATATAATTATAAAAATGCATTATTAGCTTATTAGTCAAAAATACAATATATATGATTAATATATAATATGACTTTTAAATTAATTTTGTCATTATATATACTTTAAATTACATTACAATTACATTATATATATTGAAAAACTCAGTTATATTTGTTTCCGTTATTTCAAATAATTTTAAAAATAATATTTTAGATACAAATGAAAGATAAAAAATAATAGAAATATGTGTAATCAAATAATGGCATTATCTTAACTACCTGTAAGTTTTTATAAGAAAATAATTTAATAAATTAGTATATTTAGTACAATATTACTAAAATAATTGTAATATATTTTTCTAGAAAATAAAGAAAAAAACTATTTTAAAATAATTATTATACTATATATTAAAGTATTATAAGCTTATATCGGTATAATTGGTTAATTTGAATTAACTTTTATTATTATTTATTTAATTTACACCACTTAACATAAAAAATCATTTAACAAGTTTTGAATTTGATTTAAAACATAATAGCTTTAAACCACATAAATTTTCTGACTTATATTATACACAAATTTTTAATTTATTTATATAAAATATGTGCATAAATTATATAATTAACAATGATGTTTTCTATAAATATGTATTATATTTTTTGTTTTCATATTTAAATATTTAATCGTATTTATAGTGTAGATAACAGATGTTAAGAGTAATAGTCGATGTAATAGTCAAACATAAGTCCATTTACTATTAGTTGACGACTTTGCATATATTTAACTTATTTTTGTTGAACTAAATACTGTACAATATTACTATACATTATTGTAGTTGTTTGTACAATATGTTTGACATATGTTAGCTTTTTGAATGACAATAAGTACTTTTAATGCAATTAATGTTAATTATTGTCCATTAATGTAAATTAATTAAAAAATAAAATAATAAATTGCTGTAGTGCATAATGTTACAATACTGTAGATTATTAATATACAAAAAATGTTATGTTAGATATGAAGCAATTTATTTTTTAAAGTGTTATCTTAAAAATAAAAAAATTATATAAGAATGTTATGTTAAATACGGTATTTTATATATTATAAAACATGTATGAAAAGCATAGCTTTATGAATTGCCTTTTAACTTAATAATCACGTATAAGATTTAATAACCATTAAGATTTTATAATAGTTTTAATCTTAAGATTAATTTTTATTTGAACTTTAAAATGGTATTTAAACTCAAAGTGTTATTAGAATTATTAATTTGCATTTTATAAGTATTTTTAAAAATCCTTTTTAATATCTGTAATATTAAGTATATTAAGTATTTTCTGACAACATTAGCATAAATAATAAATTTGATTTCAAAAATTTATCAGGCAAATAACTTAAATATATAATAATAATAATAATAATTTGTTTAAATATTTGTTTTGCACATTGACCCAAATAATTAATACAAATATTTAATGATTTTGCAAAAAGAGTCTCTCTCTCTCTCTCTCTCTCTCTCTCTCTCTCTCTCTCTCTCTCTCTCTCTCTCTCTCTCTTCTCTATAAAAACATTTAATAATAATTAAAATAATGATTATTTGCGACAAAATCAACATAACATAAAAGCGTAGAAATAAACATTAAACTATCAGCAAAAGTAGTGCCATAAAAATGTTTACAAAATACATTTGAAATACTAATATTATTAATAATACTAATTAAAAATAATAATATTATTATTTTAATACTATTTCAAACTTAATATGTATTAAACATAAAATTTAAATTATTGAATGACATTCACATTGTTTTTAAAAATACTGTATTTATATAATAAAAATATAACTAATGAATTATTTGGTTTATTTAAATTATGTTACCAACCCATTGTCAAACCCATTTCCATATATGATAATTAGTGTTATATTTTTTTACATAAAAAATAAGTAAAATTTTCAAAGTAAATTTCTTATAAAAAGTTTTTAAAACTAAAAAATCATTTACAATAATATAAATCTAAACAAAAAAAGAGAAAAATAAACACATCATTATTCATTTTGCAGAGATTATAATAACATTAATTTATATTACATTACACTTAACGGCATTACAGTGTAAATGCTTTTTAGTAAGTAATTGTAAAAATTATTATTAAACAATTAAATCATAACTTACTTCAATAACCGTTACCATCATAAGCATCAATAAAAATTCAAAATATTTCATATTGCATCATACAATAAATGTTTTATTTGAATTTTGAAAAAAACAAATTTATTTGAAAATTACTTTTTAAAATTTTCTAATTTAACAACACTGTTTTTAACAATACTAGTGTCTATTTTATGTATGTTTGTACAATAAAATATGTTAAAAATTTATGTGTATTACACATTGTGTAACTTTAAATAATATATTAAATTATTGTAAACCAAATAAGTAATTATGAATAGTATCGTATAATAAATTAAAATACCATTTACTAAATCAACAATAAATTGTAAATAACTAATGAATAATATATGCAAATACATGAATATAAATCTTTGTTTTTCATAAAACATTAAATTCATTTGTGTTTTATGTTTATAAAAAAGGAAAACGATTTTTTATTCAAACAAATCAAAATCAAATATTTGTTTTTAAATATTTTTTTGTTTGCAAATTTCCATTTAATAAAAAGCATTAAATTTCATTGATTTTATTAAAACCATTTGCTTTGATTAGTTTAAGTGGATATACTGTAGTCACTAAGTATACTATTGTTTTACGTATAAATATGTAGTTCACAGTTATTTATTAAAATTTTATATTTGCATTTTTGATTTTGTTAAATAAATTAAAATATTTATTTTTTAAACCGAGTTATCAAAAGTGTTTTTTTAAATTTTATTTATTATTAATTGCAATTTTTTATTAAATTTTTTTTGTATTAATTTAATTTTAATTGATGATAATTTTGTCTATAATTAGTTTATAAGTCTGGATAAACTATTATTAATATACACTAGAATATGAATTATTTATTTTTATTAAGGCTTAAGAGGAAATTAATAAAAATGAAACACAAAACATTAAGCCTTAACTTTAGGCAATTTATAAAATTTTATATAAATAAAATCTATTGATATAAACAGTATAAACATTGCAGAGTAGATTATTATTTTATAATATAGATAACATTTGTATCAAATATGATATTAAATATATATATAAAAACTCCAATCTTTAAAGTTTCTTATAATAACTATTATATTTGATATTATTTTAAATTGCTTAAAAATAAATTTATTACATAATAGCACAGATACTATATAAAAATATAATAACAATAATCTTTATGTTGAAGTTTTGTTATAACATTATATTTTACAGATTGTTAATTCATGAAAGACTACTATTTGTCTATAAATTGTTTTAAATGCTATAAAGATTTGTTAAAAAACTAGAACAATATTTATCGATAACACAACTAAATTGAAAAAATATATAATAAATAAAATAACAAACAAGTGTTACTGTTTTTCACAAAAATCACTATAAAAATTGCCATAAATATATAAATATTAAAAAATATATTTTGATATTATTTGTAAAATAATATTAATTAAATAATAATTTGATTATGATTATTTATTAAGGTATTTTTTTATTAAATATGATTTGTAATTAATTTTTATTGTTATACAAATGTTAAATTATATATTATACAAAAAGTTAGTAAATCATACAATACTAGTGATAAAAATATTATATGAATTAAATAAATATTTGATATAATATACAATAAATTAATTAATATATAAATTTATTTATAGGTAATCGACTTGAATGTGATTGTCATCTGTTGTGGTTAAGCGATAGAAAACAAAACTTTAGTGAATTACTTCAACGGGAGTTAAGATTTGTTAAGTGTGTGTTTCGTACAAATATTATGGGTTTCAATGTCGACGATGAGATCAAAGTATTGGATTTGGGCCGAAACGAGTCGGTCCGCAAAAGTTGTTCACATAATTCACTTGATTTTGAAGACATTTCAGACAATACCAACAATAACCACAAGAATAACGATGACTCGTATGAGAATGTTATCGAAAACAAAGATAATAATAATAACAATCAAAGTATAACACAATCAGAGTTTGACAATAAAAATGATTTGAGTTTAGAAAATAAAAAAGAAATTTTAGAAACAAAAATATTGTCGACTGAATTGAGTCCTAATGTTAATATCAATGGTATTGACGAAGAGATCAAAGAAAATCATTTAACTGAAACAAAGAGGAAGAAGACTATGACAGACAAAAGTCATTTGGGTGCCAGTCGTGAAAGACAACCGACCAATGGATCATCCATTTCCTTAATTTATTATAACTATTATATTATAAATATATTAATTCCACTTATATTTTATTTTATACAAAATAGTTTTACACATTAATAATATTTAATATATAATTGAATATTATATTTATAAGAGTTTGGACACAAATTCTGTGATAATGATAAACACAATAAATTTTAAATTATTAGTTAAATGAAATCTAAATAACAAACATATAATTAGAATTGTCGTAATTTAATCAATTGAGTGAAATCTATAAATTGATAAATAATATAATAAAAATTATTACATTTTTTTATAAAAACGATAAACAGAATAATAATTAAATGCAATACTAAAAATATTTTGAGTGCACAAAACAAATCAATGCTTATATTTGAGTATTAAGATTATGCTATATTAATATATAAAACATTTTTGTTATAAACTTAGACAATTGCCAAAATGTAAATTATAAAATTTATTGTAATTTAAAATTACAGTATATTTAAAATACTTAAAATGTTAAAATAAAAAACAAATTATTATTTGTAAATAGAAATTATCAAATAACTTAAATATGCACTTTAGATAGTTTTTATATATTAGACTTAAAATAATTGTTGCATCACACATACTTGTATTTTTCATTAAATTTATTCAAATAAAAGTCTACTAAAAATATATATTATTAAATTATTAAATATTATATTACTGTAATAAAAAACAAAATAGTTTTAGTTTCTATAAAATACGTGAGATGTCAACATTGTATTATTGAATTCAATATTTTTCTTATAAAAGATAGTGATTTGGTTTACAGTACAAAGAATAGGAATTTTATATGAATTATTTAATATTTTAATAATTGATGAACATGGTCAATTATTAAATAAATATAATATAAACAGTTAAATAATGATAATTAATTATTTTAGTTTTGTGTATTAAAATATATATTAATATTTTTAATGAAAATTGTTGTATTGTATTTTAACTACTAGAATTTAACAATTTGTTATTAATCTCATAATAGTTAGATAAACTATAATATTAATAAATGCATAACTTATAAATTTTACTACTTGTGTATCACAATTACTTATAAATAAAATCGTTGTTTGCCATAAACACAATTTTATTACATCAATATCTGTAAAATAATGTATAATAATATTGTGAGTTATATAATATACAATTCAATTGTGCTGTAATATGAATAGTACTGTAGATAAAGTAATGTCACGACTAATATTATTTTATATAAATAAAAATATAATAAAATTGTATAAAATAGTTTATGTATCAATAAACAAATTATGTTAAAATGTTTATTTTTATAAAAAGTATGTAACGGAAAGTTATGTTGAATTGATGTTTTCACATTTCAAGTATCAATTAAATTATTTCTGTTGTTGTCAAGTTTGATAAAAATAATTCATAATAATTAAATTTATTTATTTAACTAATAAAAACATGATTTATGATTACGTTTAAAATAACGCCTATTCAATAGTCATATAATTTTAAACCTTAATTTTAAATTAATAATAAATTAATAATAAATATATTTAATATAAATTAACTATTATAATAATTATATTAGCAAATACATAGATAAAAATTATATATATTTCGTCTATTATTTAGTAAATATTACACTTAACAATTTATTTATGAGTCAATTATTTTCTTTAAATTTTATATAAGTACCAAAATTGATCATATATTTCATGTCTCTATATGTATGTGCTTCACAATTGCAACAATTAAATTAAATATTCTATAAAAAATATATTAAATTAAGACAATAATTTAAAAATACAATAAGTATATGAAAAAAAATTCACAGAATGTTTTATTATATAATTTTTAAAAATTATTTTACATTTAAAATGTGATCATACAATTTCTCTACTTAAAATGCACAGTTTATATTAATACCATTACTAAGCGTTTATTACATTGCTAAAAATATTTAGCTTTATATTTAAGTTATAAATTATCGTAGTTTGAAAGTTTAGATGTGATATATCGAGTTAGCATAACATTAAAAACTACTAAAAACTTTATACAGTATTTAAGATTAATATTATAAAATTGGTGAAAATCAAAGTTTGTAATAATTATAAACTTTATAAGCAAATCAATACTTAGATTTGTGATCATTAAAACCGATTTATGAATAACTATTAGTTTCTGATAAATGTTTAAATGTATTCATTTTGTATAATATGAATAGTGTTAGTAAAAATCGTGTGAGTATTTAGTCAAACATCGACTATAATAATTAAGTGTTGAAAAGCAATAAATATAAACTGGACTAATATTTACATCATTAGTAACATTAATTGATTGAATTGTTGGACGACATGTAGTGCTGAGACAACTGTGCTGTTAATGTCTTAATGTAATAAATGGTAGAATAGGAAGATCTAAGAGCTCATCAACTTTTGCAATGAATTCACTACAAAGTGAAGACCAAACAAGTGATGACTCGACAACTATAAGACATTTCGCAAATAAATTAAGGGATTTTCGTTGTCTTTATTGGTAAACAATTCAGACATTGCTTTATTTTTGTAACAATTTAATCAATATGTGGATTAAAGCAAACATTGAATACAAATTTTATTATTTGTTGTTTCTAAACAACATTAGAAAACTTTTATATAATTATCTTTAAATTCAAATGTAATGCTTAATAAAAGATTTTTATGTCTAATATATAAAATTTTTCAAATAAAGTTGTTATTTAGAAAATTTTATGTTTTTCTAAAAATACTGTACTATATATTGCATATATTTAATAAATTATATATTCAATATATCTCAAATGAAATAGTATAAAATATTTATATATCATTTCATGAATATATTGAATATAAATACTTATTTTTTTGCAAAATGTTATGTAAATAATGTAAACTCAGTGTTACATCTTTATTAAAATTGATTTGATTTTTTGCAATTTTTTTTTTGATGCATACAGTTTTGGCATTTGGGAGATATAACAGTAAAAGTTGTTTGACTATAACTGTATTTATATTTCAATATAGAGATAATATATTGTATATAAAAATTGTATATAAACTCATGTTTTTCAGTTTTATAATACAGAATATCGGAATAAATTTGAATTGCATTTTATATAATATTTTTCTATTGATAGAGAGATTGAAAAAAGTGGTCCTTTAAATCACATTTGCTTAAAGTCAGTCAATTGAATGCATTCAGAAAATGATATTTTGATTTAAGTTAAATTCATAATAAATAATTGTTTAAAATTAATTTAAATATCAACTTAATTAAAAATTTAATAGTTTATAAATTTTAATACAAATAATAGAAATTTCCATGAGAAAGTTTCCATAAAATATCTCATGAATAAATTTCTATACAAATTTAACTTTATCGTTATACTATGGGATCCCCATATCTATAGTTATTGTAATATTATAGATATATTATACTATACAGTATAGTACAGTACTATACAAATGTGATACCTATATATAAAATAATTATAATTATTTAATAATAATTAAAATAATAATAATAATATTTACGTTAATGTATTTTTATATGATAGCAATATCGAGATAACAAAATTAAAATGGGAATCCCATAGATAGAAATTTCTTTTAGAAACTTTCTAGAAATTTCTCTATTATTTTATAAATTTCTCTTTTTTGCCAACTCTAATTGTATTGTATAAATACAAATTGTTAAAATGTTTTTTGTAAAAAAACATAATGTGATTAAACGATGATCTTTAAAATATAAAACTATAATAATAAAACTGAATAAACTATTAATTATTATTTTTATAAAAAAAATTATTTATTTAATTTACCATATATACAAATATTATATTTGTAAAAATATTTTTTTTGTTATAATAAAGTGAATAATTTAAATATTAGTAAATAATTAAATTAAAAAATTTTACAAAAATTGATTAAAACATTTGCTAAAAATTGAGTTACAGAAAATTAATTTTATGAATACAATGAATTTTAGATTATTTAATTTTATATTAAACTGATATATTGTATTTGTTTTGAGATAAATTTATGGTCAAACAAACAAAACATAAGTTTAAATCGGTTCAGACATTATTGTGGGATATATTTACTCATTTGTACCATTGATTTGTTCATAATGTATAACATTTATCACCAATGGTTTGACATCTTTTTCTAGTCATTAATCGATTATCTAAATGTTTGTATCATTTATTGCGTTCAGCTTTTTAAAGACCAATACTTTGTGTGCATAGCTTTGAACAACAATTCCCTAAATAGTTGTGTGATTTTGTAGTGAACGCCATTCAAACACGTATTTGGTTTGTAATAATTTTTTTAGGAATTAATCTGTTATTTAATATAACTATTAATTGTAAAACAATATATTAAGAAAAATTCATTAAAATTTCTATATATTAAACTAATTTTACTTTATATATATACATTTATAAATAATTTTACTGTATATACAGTATAAATATATATTCATATATTTTTATGTGTTATTATATATTGGTACTATATGTATAGATAAATATAATTTTATTAATTAATTAAAATTCATAATAGTTAATACCTAACCTAACCTACCTATCATTGGGAAATGTAGTCGCTTATGTATCTAAATGAGCTGTTTTTAGAACAAAGCATACAATCATATTTTAAAATTTTGAAGTTAGATATCTGATTACATATATAAACACATATGCATAATCTCTCTCTCTCTCTCTTTATTTTTTTCTCAACACATTTGGTACGACACCCGGGGTTCGATCCCTGATGGGCCATCGTTGTTTATTGTCATTTCAAAGATAACAGATAGTTTGGGTATAAAAAGCCGTCTCCTTACCAAGTTGATTTACTGTTTGTAAATACTCCTCTAAACTTGTGAGTTTAGATTTTATACACATGCTATAGACACTAATATAAAAATGGACAGGGTCTCCTAAAAGTTTACCATACATGTGACGTGCACTTTAAATCCTATTCCTTTCTCTCTCAAAATAA